ACTGTAGAATTCTTTCTTTATTAATTGTATTTTTATACATTTACATTGGTATTNATGACAGTTATTAATATTCCAACAAATATAATTTAAACTGTTATATTATACATTACATGAAAGTGCCTTACTTAACATTTATTAAGTTGAAATTACTATTATAAGACAGTAATATAGTTATAAATGGAATTAATGAAAAGGATGCACTCATTAATGTAATGAAAGTGTATATAATCATGAGAATGAGAATGATTTTTATTATCATCTAGTTAGAAAATAACGAGATACTGTATCTTCATTTTATTGTTATATCATTAAAATAAATCAACAAACATATAAATTTCATAAACATCGAGAATCTAAGTCGTAGAACTCTGATAAATTAATATACAGTAAAGCTTATACTGTATATAGGCCTATATAAGTGTTTTTTCTGGAGTTATGAGGGTATACTCTATATCTTAAACATTTAAAAAAATATATGCATATGTCTTATTTCTTTGATTTTAAGATTTTTTAAGACCTGCATATTTTTTTAACTTGTCTGAACTAGAAGTGAATATTATAATCGGAGGTGTCTTAAACAGGGCCTCCTATAGGATAACGGAAACCTAGGAAAAAATACATATTGGGGACCTATAACATTACTGTATTAAATTATTATATTAAAGTAAAGGAAGTAAAACATTGTATTGGAATTCTATTTCCTCGAAGGCCCAAGGCAATTTGTTCCTTTTGCCCCCCTCTGGGCGTCCCTCTTCTTACATTCACAGTTCAAAACAACAATCACACCAAGTGGTTTGCTTGCGACAGTCATTGCAAGCAAATCACTTGATGTGTTGTGCCCCAATAGTAAACTTTTTCATTATTTGTAAATTATACCACTCAACAGTCAGTTCAAACAAGCTTTACCTTTAATAAGCGTTTTATTTAAGCTTCTTTTTAACGTATTGAATTCCTTAAAACGACATTGTGATGGAAGTTTAAACGAAAATTATTACATTTTTAAAAGTGCTGGGACAAAGCAATACAAATTTCATGAAATAACTTATTAATTTATTTTATTAAGTTTAAAATAAAATTATTTAAATACTTTTATTCCATTTTACATTTCATTTACATTTTACATTGAAAATTCTATTTCGAACTCATATTACGTCTTAGAATCGAAGAAACACGATGTGTATATTTAGTTGATTTATTTGAAACTTTTAAACACTTTTGCTTTTTTTAAAAACAGAGTTTTTAAAAAAGTTTTTGAAAAAATACCGTTTATCCGCCTTTCTTTGTAGAAAAAACCTTGTATAGGTAGGTTTATATATACAGTATAAATGTAGAAAAGTCTTTAAAACATAGACATGTAATGAATTTAACAATAAAGTTATTAAGGAAAGATTAGAAAATCGAAGTTCTTAATTAACATATTTAATGTGGTTTTAATAAATTAGAAAATAAAATACTTGAAATAAATTTTGAAAAAAAAAAAATTTGGAATTAACATATTTAATATGAATGAAAAAATATTTTATTTACTAATTCATTAAAATTAGAAAAATAAAATATTTGTTAAATTATTAAAGTCATTCTTTTACTATTGTTTTGATTCTTATGCAGAATTGCTCTAGCATTGTTTCTAAATTTTTTACAACAAGAATTTTCGTAGGATAGCATTCCATTTTATTTATTCCTCTTTCATTATCTGCATGGATTTTTAAGATCCGAATCAATTAAAATCTACATTTCAATTATCAAATATATTTTTATATATACAGTAATATTTATGTTGCAAAATCTTAATATTTTGAACAATTTTAACACTCTTGACTGAATGAATCTTTCATTTCATCACAACGAAGCAGAATGATACTTCCAATTTTTTTAAAAATTTCAAATATTAAAAATGATAATTTTTCTTTTTTACTTTTACTGATTTGCATATATTCTTTCATATTTAATATAGTTTTTAATATAAAAAATTATAAATAGCGTTCATTAGAACTCGAGTAGAACTCATTACTATTTTATTGAATTAAGACATTAAGGCATAGGATTTCATTTTATTTCTAATACGCATTCCATCGAATAGTACATGAAATAAATTTCTCTATGGTTGACCTAATTTCTTGTTATAAATATTAATGATGATAATGATGATAAAATATTATGTAGAAAAAAGAAATGCTCTAATAATTAATCTTCTAAAAAATGTCAAAGAATCTTTTGTAAACAGTTTAATGTTTCTTTTTTTTTATTATTACATTTGAATGTTTTTCAATGACTTGATTTATTTCGGTTAAAAAACTAATATTGGTTTTCATAAATTTTACGATTTATTATAGTAGAACTTGATGGACAGACACAAAAATTCATATAATGTTGTGATTATAGTTCAAATAAGCTTCACTAATTTACAGTAGTGTACAGTATATGGAGTTTATGGAAGTGCATTAAAGAATTCCATCTCTCGAAAAAAAATTAATTAATTTTTACAGTTTAAGTTAATCATAACTTCGAATAACATTATTCTTATTTGAGTTTAATTAAATAAAATACCAAAACCTNTATATTAATTATTATAGCCTAAATCCTATACAATATAGCCACATTTATTGTAAATTATTACAATAAATGTAGCTATATTGTATAGGATTTAGGCTATAATAATTTATTTATAAATAAATAATTTTTATTCACAATAAAAGTTCCGTAAGTCGAATGTTTAAACTTGAATAAGTTTATATTTTAAAAGTTTTATACCGATTTATTTCTCAGATTTATAAGCAAAATATCTGCAAAGAGAATTTTCTATTCAATAAATATATATAGTATTATAAATTTTTTTTAAATATGTAAATTTGAGTTCCGAAAAAATTGAATTTAATAACTATAATTAATAACACAGTTCTATATAAAAATATATTTCTGACAGAAAATAAAATAAGGATTTCCGTCTTCATTTATCTTATCTTGTATCAGAAAATAAACTTCAAATAAAATTTCATCACTATTTAATCGATAGTTCTCGATAGAAATCTTTCCTCTTTTGGAAATCCCTAATATAGCATTAATCCATATCAAAAATTTCCATCAAGACTTAATAAATCAAGCTTAAATTAACTGAATTAATAATTAATATATTTAATTAATAATCTACGTAAATTGCAATTTTACTTTTGATTGTAATTCTTCTTACTTTTAAATTTGATTATTTTACAGTTTAAATATTAAACGTTACTAAACTTGTCCTTAAAATATGATACATCTTGCAATTTGAAAATATATTTATACATTATCCTAAATAATGATTTAAATAATACGACTTGATAAATTATATTCATGCTTGTTACGTCCAGAAAGTGTACACTTTAACGTCAATTTGACGTCATTTCGTTAGTTTTATAATGAACAGGTTTAAAAAATGGCATTAAATTGACGTAAGGTGAGTATTATTTCAACCAAAGAAACAAGCCCTACATTCGAGAATTCATTTTTTAATTAGAATATTCCTTCATTTATTCTCTTCCGTATTCAAGATATTGATGACTATTTTAAAAGATTTATTATGAGAAAAATTTGAAATGAGTTTTCATAAATAATTTTTTAAACTGTTAAATGTAAAAATCAATTATTTTCTTTCTACAGGAAGAAAAGACCGAGATAAATTAGTTTGATTAAAATAAAAATAAAATTTTTACAACGACTTTTCGTTATAATGAATTGTTTACTTGGCATTATCAAATGTATCCTGTTACTTTAAATGCAAAATAGCAAGAAAGTTATTTAATTTAATTGGTAAAGATAAACGTGTTTGTGCAAATTATATAGATTTCTTGAAAAAATATTTTAATTACTGTAAATCAGCTTAATTTAGTTGGTTAATGTTGTAATCAGGCATTTTCTATCCAAATCCCTAAGTAACTATCCCTTATAAAAGACAAAATTGTAAAAATTCAAGCGTGAAAGCAAAATCTCATTAAAGTTAATTTGTTATGTAATACAGTATTACAGTAATATTAATGATCAATACAACGGTTTTTGAAAGTCACACATAATTGATGGACTTTAATATTATATTATAAGCTACTTATATATAATATATATATATTTAAGTCATTTATGGTTAGTAGATGAATGAAATACTTAAATTACTCTAAGTATTGATGATTACAACAAACGAGGAGAAAGGTATTTGTTAGCTAGCAGTGTAGTTAAGGGAAAGAGGGTATTGAGGGTAATAATACTGCACTTGAAACCCGACAACGAGAAATGTTTTTCTTATTCATTGTCATTGGTCCTTCAACAGACCTGTAGCTAGAGGAGATGGCTAGCTAGGGGGTGGCTAGCTAGGGATGGCTCAGCCACCCCAGGTCTATTATATTATATTTCAAAAGAATTTCGGGTACGCGCCTCCGGACCTTCTTTCTCTGGGTTACTTTGATCCCCAGACCTCCCGGAGCCATCTCACAATTTTCTAGAACCATCACTACTATGGTTAGTTTAGCTATGTTATCGCCCCCAATATAAACAGATCGACAGCGATTTTATTAGCGCTAAATGTAACGCGAGCGCCATGTGATGTCGAGAATATACAAATGTTTAATGATTTAATTAAAATTCAAATATTTGCAAAAACTTTAAAATGCTTTTTATATTTTTGTAAATTAAAAAGCAATTAAAAAATAGAAATAACGCAATTAATATCGAGAGTTAAATGAATATTGTACGATGCGAAAAGTTAATATTAATTAAAATTTTTATTTTAAGTTTTAATCTTATTTTTACTTTTAAAGTTCTCATAAAATTTATTTTTAAGAAGCATTTCGTTTATTTATTTACAAAATACAACGCTAAATAAAAGTTGTTTTCGAGTTCTCTTCTCTGCCATTTGTCACATGCTCCTCATTCCTCACTTTTCGCTTCACCCTGGTGATATGGTGGTTGGTATATTTAACATATATGATCTACAGTATAAAAGTAATGACTTTTACGACCTATCACTCAATTAGGACCGGTAATAAACGTCGTAGGTTTGGTGGTTCTACGGATAATACGACCATTACGACTTATGACAGTGGGGATCCTACCAACGAATTTGCAGGCCATTCACCATATCGTCGAAGCTGGGAAGGAACGAGGCATCCGGAACCCAACCATTCGCGACATTATCATCCACACAATCATCATCATCACAAAAGCGAAACGGGAGAAAGATCTAATTTTTCTCCCCCATATCGACAGGATCCACCATGCGAGAATCGCAACGTACCAAGAGACAGAAGATATCCCCCTGAGAGATACAGAGAACAACCAAGAGAAGACGAGCTAACTGAAGAAGTACCAATTACAAGGCACGAAGGACACAGAAGATCCGATAGACCCAGAAGATCAGATGGTGTAAAGTGCAATGGAAGACACGGAAGAGACGAATGGCCCGAGAGAAAGGCATCCGGCAGAAGATGTAAACACGAATATTGATTCCCGTAACGATCCGGAATTTCACTTTCCTCTAGGTTGTCCTCAGCACTGTTAATAATTGCACAAAAGCAATTGCAAAATATACTTGGGAACTAAATGATTGTCTTCATTCGTCAAGAAATACAATATTTTAATAAAAGATAGNTTTCCATCAAGACTTAATAAATCAAGCTTAAATTAACTGAATTAATAATTAATATATTTAATTAATAATCTACGTAAATTGCAATTTTACTTTTGATTGTAATTCTTCTTACTTTTAAATTTGATTATTTTACAGTTTAAATATTAAACGTTACTAAACTTGTCCTTAAAATATGATACATCTTGCAATTTGAAAATATATTTATACATTATCCTAAATAATGATTTAAATAATACGACTTGATAAATTATATTCATGCTTGTTACGTCCAGAAAGTGTACACTTTAACGTCAATTTGACGTCATTTCGTTAGTTTTATAATGAACAGGTTTAAAAAATGGCATTAAATTGACGTAAGGTGAGTATTATTTCAACCAAAGAAACAAGCCCTACATTCGAGAATTCATTTTTTAATTAGAATATTCCTTCATTTATTCTCTTCCGTATTCAAGATATTGATGACTATTTTAAAAGATTTATTATGAGAAAAATTTGAAATGAGTTTTCATAAATAATTTTTTAAAACAAAGATTAAATATTTATGAGAAAAATTCATGTATAAAAGTTGAATTTTTCTCTATTTATGTTTTAAAAAAGTTTTATGTAATTTTTTTATTTTTTTATATAATTAAAAGTTCATTTACATCTAGTGTATTTCAAACAATATTTATGCAATATGACTTGCACATAATGCTTAAAATATATCTAATATATGTGGAAATTAAAATATAATACGAAAATATACAGGAAAAAATTAGTCATTAAATAGAGACATTAAAACAGTAATTTTCAAGGTAAGTTTTTTCTTTGTAACGTCTATAAACGGAAATTTCGAAGAAAGTTACGTCATTTGCTGAATGATGGACATGTAAAGAGCTAATATTACAATGATTGTGTAAATACTTGTAACATTTTGAATTATTATCGTCGTATCGATCGAAGAAAACAATAAATAATTAATCAAAATTTATTAAATACCATCTTATCCACGAAATGTAAATCAATTAATAAATAGATATTAATAATTTAATAATACAATTTTATTTCTTCGTAATTTGTGCGAATATTAAAATATTTTAAATAAATAATAAGAAAGACAATTATGGAATTTAATATAATCGAATTTCTCTTTTATTTTATATAATATTACGTCTTTAGTTTATATTATTAAAACGATTACATATTAAAAAATTGTAAATGTTTCATTTTAAAAATTTAATCTTTTTTTAAAATTATTTAAAAAATTAATTTACTCTGAACTGAAATAAATTAAATATAGGGCTTTATATAATTTTAGTCAAATTTACGAAGCATATTATTTATAATTTTATATGATTCTCATAATCTTATATACGAAATTCAATAATGTTGTAAACAAGATTCTCATAATCCTATAAATTATATATTACTATATATAGTATCCTATAATTTTATTTAAATAATGTAATTCTAAAAATGGGATATACAAAATCCTGCACATTTTATACTCGACTTGTAATTTTATAGAATTTACTGTATATAGTATCATACAAGTTGTATATAAAAACATTGCAGCAGGGTACATGTACAGTATTAACTAAATACAAGTATACGAGAATATTCATAATTGGTAGTGAGCTGGAGTAGTTGCCAGAAACACCTAACCCCTCTTTTCATAGGGCCAAGTCTTATCTCGACTCCTGTGAAAATAGTGGCACAGTTTAAATTACAAAGTCGTAGGGCGTCTCAAAATTAGTACAATACGTATTTGTCTAGTTAAATTACTCAAAGGGGAAGCGGATGGATAATGTCAAAAAATGGGTGGTAACTGTGTGAGGCTTCTTCGGCATAATCTTGAGCGCTCAAGGTCATGCAAGAAGCCTCACAAGTTCTCCAAATATTGATATGTAATTTTGTAGAATCTAATCCTGAAAAATTTATAATACACTCACTAAATTAGTAGTACTTAATAGAAGAACCTTTGGAGGGTTTTGCATTACGAATGTTTAAAAAATATACATTTAATTTGCTATATAAATAAATATATAGAGTTTATAATGAACATTTCTTTAAAAGCTCTCATTATTTAGTTCATATATTATCTATTATCTAGAGCTATTTATATATTTCTAAAGCTCACTACTAATTTTATATCTATTCGAGTTTCACGCCAGTATAATTTTGGAGGATTTTCGGAAAGTCTTTCTTAATTGCTTCAGCTATAAGCTACAGTTAGGCTAAAATACAAGTGAGAGAATAGAATGGCTTACTCTCCTAAGAGAAAAAAAAAACAAATTTTTAATTGAGGTACAACAAAAAATTTAAAAATTTTTAAAGTGCGATTAGCGGAAAAGGTTAAGAATCACTGCATTAGTTATAATTTTATAAGTTTTTTTTTTTTTTTTTTAAATAAATAATATAATCTATTTATAAGAATCCACATAATTGTATATGTTTAACTTTACAGAATAAAGTATTGTTATGATGTAAAAATTTTGTATAATTTATGTACTAAGAAGATTTATTCAACCTTTAGCATCTTACATAATTAGGTTCTTTTCTAAGATATAGAAAATCATGTAATTTAAAACAAGGTACGTGATCGTTAGATAAATCAATATAATTTTATTATTTTATTAAAAAAAAACGATTTTGTAAATAAAACCGAACGCAATATTAAAATTTTAAGAGGAAGTTAAAAGCATTGATTAATTATCTTGTAAACTTGAAACATGTAATTTTTCTTTTTAGGTGATCTTTAAGTAATCGTGATGAATTTTTCTTTCTACTCGGCTATTGTTCTGAGTTTTACCAAATAACATCTCAAAAAAAGATTTTTCTTAACCAATTATTTTATTATCAGCGGGTTCATTTTCCTAGTTTTGTTGACAGCAAAATAACTGTGCTTTTTTCCTCTCCTGAAAACCTTTTATTATGTAATTATAGGGTGGTTGCTGATAATCTTCTCCAAGTTTTTTTTTCGAAAAGCGATTTGTCTTTTCGTTCTATATTATACGCTAAAACAAACTTTAAGTTAACAAAAAAATTTACAGTGACTTACTAGAAAAATAAATTTTGTTTCTTTAATAAATTACTGTACTTTAAACAGTGTAAAATATTTTAAAAATTGCTAAATTTTATTTTTAATTAAAATCTGAATTTTAAACAATTTATGACATTAATATCTGATGAGTTAGTTATTTGTTTTAATAAAAAAAATTCGTAAGTAATGAATTTTATGTTTACTGCGGCAATTTAGATGTTTTATTATTTTTTAGAGAAGGGTTCATTTTATCAGACTTCTTTGGTTTGTTTTATGAAGTTTTTTATGTACACTAACTTATCTATTTAGAACATCAAGTGGAAATCCACAATGGAGTGGGTGGTGTCACATCTGGCACAATAGGCATTCTTTGCTAACAATGCTTGTTGATTTTTTGGTGACAAACACTTTCATCTTGTAAACTTTGCTACATCAAACTCGCTAACTNTATATAGAACAAAAAAAAAAGTCGTTCGACAGTCACACTAGATATCTTTGTTACGGCGATTTCGAGCATTCATCAAAAGATTAGAAGAGGAACCTATCCGAAAAAAAATCAATCCTGTACTCCTGTTCATCTCGTCTTCGATTGATCATTTCTCTTCCTATCTCTTTCTACCAAGATATTGGAATGTCATTCGTTTTAACTAATGGATGATCGAGTTAAAAATTAGCTAAAAATAGGAGAAAAAATCAGAAAAAAACGCAATAATTGTATTTATAAAAGTTTCATGCAAGAATTAGCTTTATTGTAAAGCACTTTTCATATGTGTTATCGATCTATAATGAGTTATATCGCGTGTTTTTCCTCAAGAGAACGAAAAAATTATTATTTTCTATATTAACTTTGTTCGTAACAATTCGTCCTTATACGCAACGTTCAAAATTCCTCTTAAATTACCTTTACTCTGGATTATATTTTATGAAAATTTATATTAAAAAATTCTTTCAAAATAATAAATTTTATGAAAAATTTTTATATTTCGAAATTTCTTTTATGTCTTAATTGCTAGACATAAAAGAAATTTATAGTAAATTGTTCCGCTTATCAAAAGAATAAAAAACAAAAAAAGTAATGTCATTAACATGTTAGTGTTAACATTTACGAAATTATTAATGGTAATTAAAGAAGTTTTATCATTAATAACGTTATCTTATTTAATGGGGATAATATAATACAATTTTTATGGAAAAAAATAAAGAAAATGCTTCTATAAATCATGCTTTGTAAACGAAAAATGCGGCTTTATAAATAGCAACATCCCGATTTAAAAATTCAAAATTAGCGTTTATAATGTTATATCATCATCACCCAACTTTTTCTTAATTATAAATATTATAAAATAATTAATTTTGATTTATTGCGACAATGAATAATTTAAAATTGTGATAATATCTATTTTAATTACTTAGTCATTAACGAATTTATTTTAATTATAACCTTCAAAAAGTTAAAAAAGCTTATGCGTGTAATTATGTTAATGTTTGTTTTTTTTTTTTAATTTTAAAAATGTATATAAAATTCATTTATTATTTTATCCTAATGGTGATTAACGTAAGTTTTTTTGTGCTAATCTTTTATAATAAATAAGCTATATATTAAGTTTTTACAGTAAAAATAGTGTAAAACACCCGAAATATTTATTTTTTTGTTTGGTTTTTTTAAAGATTAAAACTGTAAAACAAACTCCTGAAAACAATGTAATTTAGTTAGCAATTAATTAGTTAAATTGCTTTAAAATTTTAACGCATCTAAACACATTTTCCACTTCAATCACAGTAAAAAAGAGGAGAAAATCATTAGTTTTTTCATTCCTTTTAAAACGTTTTAACGTCATTTAAGTGATGTTTTATTATGACTTTATTGGGTTTTGTTCTGGTTAAGCTGTCATGAGTCAATAAACCATTTTCAACTAG